AATGTTATGATGTATTTGTTCCTTGAAACTTTTTATTAAATTGGAAATGGATTGCATCTCTTTCTCACTGTGCACATGCATATGCGTGCATGCAGACATGTATAGGCTGCTATGGTCCAGAACATTTTATCACAATTGTCTAATCACATTCCATGTCAGATTCTATAACTAAGTCCACATTTGAGCCCCATTCTTTAAAACGTATGTTCTTTCAAATTCATGTTCAACAAGACATTCTCTCAATTAAATTAGTTTGCACGTAAATCCAAAATTTTTCTTACATGTTAACCTCACATTCTCAAAAAGTCACTTTTTTTACAATATCTATTCTAAAAAAAATGGAGCTTAGATAAGGGCTAAATAAATGTTTCCTCTCTCTCTCTCTCTCTCTCTCTCTTGACACACACACACACATCATGGTTGCATGTATGTGTGGCCGATGAAAGAAGCCTCCTATATCATGTATAGCAATGTCTCCAACTAGAGTACTATAATTAGGAATCAGAAGCTGGTCGACGCACAGAATGGTGTGATGTTTTAGGGTCTCAAAATAACTGCTGCGATGCACTTATTACTTTGAAAATACAACGATTCAGAAAGTGGAACAGATTTATAATCTATTTATCTTCAGACTCGTGGATTCGTTCAAGCTCCAATGCCCATGCTGCTGACGACAAAACCTCTTTTCGCACTTGACCAACCAAATTCTCACTCTTGGAAGCACGTGCTGCTGATGACAGAAAACATTCTGTGATGAGTCCACGTATTATGATGCTGCTGATGATGAAACATGATGAAACCTATTCACACTCTACCAATCAAATTCTCACTCTTGGAAGCATGTGTTGCTGATGACAGAAAACATATTTTTAGAATTTCTGTGACGAGTTCACATATTTTTGTGCTGCTGATGACGAAACCTCTTTTCACACGACCAATCACATGTCAGATCTCTAATTCTAACTATCCATTGCTCTCTCTCTCTCTCTCGTGCAAGCTCACTCTTGAAAGCACATGCTGCTGGCGCCATAAAACATCTTTTTAGAATTTCTGTGACAAGTTCACGTACTTCTAATCATTGTAGAAAGTCAACAAAGTACAGAAGTTGCAAAATGAGACCAATAGTAAAGTGGTCGGTTACTTGATGATGCCAGCTCTGGGTTGCGAATCCACCAATGACAAGGATGATGCAAGGTTGTTATTTTTTACTTGATTTTAGCTCGCCTTTGCAGATTCTTTTATTGTACTTAGGGGGGTGTTTGTTTTTTATTTTTTGATTCTACAGTAAATCAATTCTCATTTTCAACCACACATTCTTCAATAAAATAATATTTTCCATCACATCAATAATTTTTTCTTCTTTTTCAACCACACATTTCCCATCATATCACTATTCAAAAATCAATTCTTC